TATAAATTTAGCTTGAAGTATAGTACTTAAGATGTTTACATAATCAATATGTAATCCTGTATTTTGTTTTCAGACAGTGATAGAGGTTTTGACAGAGAAGAAACACAACATTGTTCCTTCAGTGGGATCTCTCGTTACTTGTAGGGTAAGCATTCCATATACTTTTTTGTATGTTAATAAATATTTGAATCTTAGCAGTTCACCATACTATTCTCAACAATAGTCTTTTGTGTCCAATCACAATTATAAAAAAAATGTATACTCATCCTTTTGTTTCATAAATGATAATAAGTGGATTATTTATGAGAATTCATGCTTGTCTGACTTTTATTTTACTCTTCATTTGCAGGTCACCAATGTAAATCCAAGATTTTGTAAATGTGCCATATTAGGAGTAGACAATATGCCATTAAAAGAATCATTCCGAGGGCTTGTCAGAAAAGAAGATGTCAGAGCTACAGAAAAGGACAGGGTAAATAATACAGTACCACAGCAAAGAAATTTTATGAATTCATATATTTCTACTGCTTTTATGAAAAAAAAATGCTAGTATCACAAGGGCCACCAAATACAGAACTACTCAAAGCATAGATACATTGACTTAAAGAAGCGTACCAGTAAAGCACTGTGCTTATTTAATCACATAAAAATACATTGTTCATTATGTATGTATGTATAATCTACTTCTTGGTTTCTCTTTCTGTTTTATTTTTCAGGTTGAAATGTACAAAAGTTTCAGACCTGGTGATTTGGTTATAGCACGAGTTGTATCCTTGAGTTTAAACACCATAATGACATTAAGTCTCTTTCAAAAGACTTTTTCCACATAATGTTTTGCTTTGAAGATGAGGCATTTTCACATTTCACAAATAACATGATAGTAAATAAATAAGTTTATAACCACATGAAAGTGGAGACCAAAATAACTATATTCAGGCACAATCAAAACAAACTCTATAAAAAAATGGGTTTAATGTGGCATACTTGTGTTGAGAATTATCTTTTGCACACAAAAAACATAAATTAGGACTTAATTTTCTGTTTTTGTCACAACACAGGACATGTCAAATATTTATCAGGATGACTGCTGTACATTTAGATTTATTGTCAGTTTTACATGTTCTCAGTCAGTGAAATAAAAAAAAACAACTAAATTTTGCTCATAAATTTTTATGATTAGAATTTCATTCCATTGAAATCACATTACACATACATTAGTAAGAAATCATATTCATTTAAAGTAGAACCCCTTATTTCTAAGTTTAGCTGCTTTGTATAAAGACTTTCTCAATGGTTTCCTTGACGGGCATGTCCAGTTGTCATTAGGAGATGCACAGTCCTACCTACTGACCACAGCAGAAAATGAACTAGGAGTTGTGGCAGCTGTCAGTGAAGCAGGTTAATCTATGCATTTTCTATAGAGTGGAGATAGTAACTTCCTGTGAATGGTATTGGAGTAAACATTTGTCTTCTCAAAAATTAAAATCCGAACTCTTATAGTTACTATGGTTCTTTAGATAGTTATTTACTTCACACTTCAAATGTAGATATTCCTATGTAAAAATATGAGACTATACATTAAACAACATAGGAATGTGAAGTTTGAGGGGTGGTGGAAAATGAAAGTGAATGGATGATTAAGGCAGTTATGGTACAAATATTACAAACAAAGACTTTCTGCATTTCATTCAGATTTTTTCTGGACTACATGCTTTCTCTTGATAAAAAATGGCAATTAATTTCTTTGTTGCAGGAGTGAATATGGTCCCAGTCAGTTGGAATGAAATGATTTGTCCAAAAACGATGTCAAAAGAATTCAGGAAAGTAGCCAAAGTGCAACCCCAGTATATAGACAATACTACTGCTACATGACGACAATGTAATATATGGATCAGAGAAGATGCATATATATATGACATTTGGACATTGGTTTTCATAGTCTTGCAGCATATAAGTGAAAAGTAAATATGGGAATGTTTTATGGGACAAATTGAATCTGAAACCTAAACAGTGAAATTCAAACTCCATTCTTAAGTGTGCCCAGACAAGAGGTCCTGTCCAAGATATTTTTAGACATTTTTATGGATGATTATTACAATGGTTTTACTGGTGAAGTTGTTGGCATCTTCATGTGTTTTCAATGGCACAGTAAAAGATGGTCTTTTTTCTAGACAATAAAAATGACACAGGAGCATTTTTATCTTTTATGATTACAGAATAGAACATGATATAATGCAAGATAATCATTAATTGTTGCACAAATGTGATCCAGTGTATAACTTGACTATAAATATAAATATGGTACCACAGAATCGTATTATTATTATTTAGCAGTGGTTCTCTTAAACCCACACTGTTCATATAGACCATTATAATGCCCACCAAGTAAGAACTGATGGGTCTTCACATATTGTTACTTTTCTTCAGACAAATTAAATTTATCCATCACTGCTTTAACATCTGGCATTAAATAGTCTGCTTCTCCTTCTTCATAACCATAAGCACTGTTGATAAAATTCTGAAATTCTTCACGAAGACCAAACAGTTGCTTTTCAGTCAACATTTTCTGTTTTTCCATATCTTTGAGTTCACCATTGAGCCTTTTGATTTCACCATTTCTTTGTTCAATCTCCAAATTTAATAGCCTAATCTGATTGTCATAATCCTGCTTAGTTTCTGCCAGTTTTGTGGCAGCAATTTTTTGTTCCTGAAGACGTGCCTCTGCTACAGCATCCTCTTTTTCTTTCAACATTTTTTGCTTCAAATTTTCAAGTGCTCTTTTTTTCTGATCGGAGGCTTCTTTCATTGCTTGAGCAAGTTTTTCTGCATTGTGCCTAAAATTGAAGAAAAAGCTTTCAAAATGATGAACAAACTGGGGCTAATCACACTGCGTTAGGGTTAAACTGAGAAAATTAAATCACAGTTACTCACAGTAAATTAAATAACAGTTACTAACAATTATACTTTCAACCTCAACAGCCTGAAATTATGTATTGAGTGTGGCCTTGGCCTGTCAGAGCCAATACAAGTGTGTCACTTACTTTGCTACTTTTGCTGCTTCGTGTGCAGCTGATTGTTGCTCTTCTAGCCTGGCAGCTGCTACTGCATCCAGAAGTTCTTGGTGACATCTCTCTTCTGTGGCTCTGACAGCTTCCTGCAGCCTTTGGTCTGCCTGCTTCCTTTCTTCCTGCTTTTCTTGCAAAGCTTTCTTTTGCATAAGTCCCTCAACTTTTAAAGCTTCTTCCTATAAAAAAGGCGAATTCTTTATCATACATTTCATCTGTGTATTGCCTGTTTTTTTAAATTAACAAAGTCTAGTCACCTATGGAATTATTATGCTGTAGTGTAAAGTGTATAAATGACTAGTAGTGTAATTTGATATTTTCCTAGATTTGTTCCTAGTCTTTTTAGTTGGCAACATTTTATTATTGAATGTTATATAACCTTTTATTCAAATGTCCATATTTTCATTATGTACAACTGACCTGGCTTCTAAAAATCAATATCCAGCAAACAACCATTTAAAACCCTACCTTGAGAGCCTTTTCATGCTGCTTCTTTATCCTTTTTATGGCCTTTGCAAGGTCTGCATCTGCTTGAATTTTGGCTTGTCGTAATGCATCTTCTTTTCTAAGTTCTGCTTGATTCCATACAGCTTGTTCTGCTTCTCGCACTGCTATTAGTTTATCTTGTTCTGCTATATTCAGAGTCTTTTTGTGAAGTAGATTACCAATATCTGAAAGCAGAAAAGTAAATAATGAGGAATATTTTGGATTTAAAATATTCATACAACTCTCACGTTGTCCAGGGTAAACCCTACCCTAAAACCTACTGCTACCCAAGAAAATGTTCAATTAAGAAGAGTTGATGAAGCAATCTTAGACCAACCATTTTTGTCCGCAGCAATATGTACCAAATCGTTTGATGTTCACCCCGTCTCATCCAGTTATCTTTAAAAATCGATTAAAATTATTTCCCCATGTTTCTTTCAATCTACACTTTCGAGTAACCTAAAATTTTACTCAATATCTTCTTGTCGGTTAAATGCTGTTTTCATGCTTCCATCTTCATAAAATGACATTTAATAACTCTCTTCGATCTAAACTTTTAAGCAACCTAAAATAATTAGATCTACCCAAAATCTTCCTGTGTGTGAAATCCTGCACGACGAAGGGTTTGGTCTCCTCGTATCTCCGTGGCACGGAATTATACCTTGGAGATAAGGACGGTAATAAAGGTGCTGTTGCTGGGACTTCTGTCATCTGGAATGTCTTCTCGGCGTTGTCATCAGGTTTTAACAGAGCCATCGATACAATCGCCGACTTGATATCTGCTTTCAATTTGCTGCATGGGATGTATCAGAACACTGTAAACATGGTAAACAGGAAGCTAGTCCGATACAAATAAGTCCCATGAATCAAAATAGCCATTTCCAATAAATTTCCACATATTCTAGGAAATTCTCAGTTTAACTCTTATGGAGACTATACTCCTAAAGTACCAACGTAATAGGATCTGTGTCTTATTGTATACTTACCTATTATGCGGATTAATTTCAACCCCAAAGCATCCTAGCAACTCACGGATTTTATGCGTGAATATACGAGAACAGTGATGTCAGAGATTCTTCGTCACGGAAGTCGAGTCAGCAAGGGAGTAGAGAGCAGTATTGCACATCAAACGTCCAGCATACCTTTGTCTGGCGCTAACTGGCATGGTAAGACGTGTTGATTTTTTCAGATTCAAGTATTCAATGCTTCAGTTCGATTCACTTTTAATACTATTAATAGAAGCAATGGGTTTTATATAGGCCGTTAACAATCAGCTAGTTTGGAATCAGCCACGTGTGTTTCTGCCATGTGCAAGAGCCACGTGCCTTTGTACACTATTGTAACATAAGTTTGTATGATTTTTTGGACGAACTGCATTAAGAAGTTAGGTGCAAACTGCTGTTGAGAGTTTGGTAACTTAAATTAAGAATAGTATTTATCTTTTATTGCTAGTCAAAGAATGTAACAAAAAGTCGAATTACATGAAAGATCATTTATTACTTTTTGCAGTTAGGTAGTAGTACCCCTTTCCACTTTTTTAATGCTCCCGAAGTTATTGTTTGTCATATGCAGTCATATTAGTTAGTTTTGCATTTTGATATCATGCAGCATGAAAGTTCACATGTTAACACAACTTTTTATATTTGTGTATTATATGTGCTGTATGTAACACATGAAAGAGAGAGGTGCCCAAAACGGTAAATTATGCTCAGCAGACAAATCAGCAGTGTATCAGGAGCACTCTGTTTTATTTCTTTACCTCTCGACTTGTCAAGCTGCACACTGCTGAAAAGCCAACCACTTTTGCCTTTATCTTTTATGAAATTAGAACATATAGTACATATCAGAAAAGGTAAATAGGAGTGTTTAAGCTTGAATTTTCAAGCTTGATATCATGGACACATATGTCTTATCATTGATAAGTATTGATGTTTTAAGGACATCTTCGATTTTTCAAAATATAAGGCTGTCAATTTAATAACAATTTCTTTAAATGAAGCTCAAACAAACTCGTAAATAGATACATGTAAAAGATGGAGATGTTTCAGGCACTGTGAACTTTATTTGGTGTCGACCAGGCGTGAAGCAAGATATGTGAGGCTGTGTGTGATGCATGTGATGATGCAGGATGATATGGGGCAGAGTTCAGTGGAAATTTACTGGCTACCAGTAGTTGGATTAAATGTACATGTAGGGTTACATATCAGAATCTTTCATTTGATTTTTGAAAAAAAATCTGGATTTTGAAGGATTGGTACATTTCTGTAAGATATAACAAAATGTTTTTCTCTTTTATTCATTTTTAGTAATCTTTTAACCAAAGTATTGTAGGTAGATCAAAAACTTGTGTGTGTGTGTAGATTTTAGATAAGGGAGTTGCATATGCAATGACTATATGTATACATGCAGAGTATTTGATAAAGGTGACTTAAATAGCCCTCCCACATCTTTTATAAAATGCCCTTACTTTGTTATGTTAAAGAGGTGAAATGTTTTAAGTTGTTTAGAATTGATATATCTTGGGTCATCATTAAGGTATAGGAAACTGTAAACAACAGGTGAAGCCCAAGACAGCAGGAGCTACACACCTGTGTGTTTAATATTAACTAGAGTGCATTCTGAGATAATGATGAATATTTCGACATGAACAACATGTTACAATAGTAAATTGTAGATGTTTGAACATCTGGTATAGAAGTGTTACTGGAAAGAGTGAAGTTAATTGAAAAGATTACCAATAGAATCAAACTGCTTGTTATAAATTTTATGTTGTTTTTTACATTAATTTTTTTTCAGTGGAGATCATGACAGATGATTTAGTCTGTGAGGCTGCAGAAGCAAGAAGTCACACTGACTCCAAGAAAGGGCAATTCTCTAAAATGGTCACAGAAGAAAGCTCCACTGCCATTGAATACAACAAACAGGAGTATGGAGATACATTCAGTAAGGTGATAGTAGAGCAGATGCCTGCTATTACTGGCCATGAAATATTACACACATTCCAACAGTTCCATGATCAGTCCATGTCAGAAGATGAAGATGTGGATGTGGTTGGCAGCAGTTTTGATGAAGATCCAGTAGAAAATGAGACATTAACAAGACCTGATTTTGCTCATTCAGTGGACAGTTCTTTAACTTCTTTTGTTGATACTCTGGGTGAAGACAGTTTGGGTTCATTTGCAGGTACATAATACTAAAACTTGTATAGGTATTTTGCTGAGAATGAGTGACTTATACTAAAAATTCAATTTTAGGTATGTAAAATACGTCATATTTACATTCTGTCATGTTTGCAATATTTAAGACAGGGCCAGGGCAAAGTCAAAATGGCTAAATGTTATTGTAAATAAAAATTTTTCTTGTGGTCCAAGGGCTTTCCCATCAAGAATTTTTGATTAAATTATTAATATAGAGATTTTGGTAATTCTAAAAAAAAATGCCTTTCAGAATCATTTCAGCAACAAGCACATTTTACATAGTAGTCCTTAAGACCGTTCACATGGAAAGTCTATTTTCTAAAAATCTATTTTCTATTCGCGGTATCTTGTGATCACGGTCTGTGCCCTGAATACCCCACGGCGTAATTACTGGCAGCACGAGCCAGTTACTCCCTGTGCTGCCAGTAATTATGCCGCGGGATTTCATGTGAACGGTCTCCTTAACTCTAGGGCTTTTCAGTTACTGTCGATTTTTTCCACTTTATAGGGTGCAAAAGTATAAAACAGCAAATATTATGATGCAAGTCAGAATCATGCAATTGCACAAAATATGGATATCATTGACATTCTTGATATTTATATTGTGGGTTTCATGAAAAAATGATAACTTGTCTTAAAATGCTGGTTTCATCCATATAGTTTGTGCTAGAGTGAATATACACATTGATTGCTTTGCAAATCAGACATGTCCAAAGAAAATCTTTCCTCATTTTTTGTAGGAATTGAGGCAACAGATGTTAGCAGTCTTCTGGCACAGTTTGAAGAAGGTGTGTATGTTCTCATTTTTACACTATAATTGGTTCAATATGACTTGATTTAACTTAAGTTAAGGTCACTGAAATCTACACCACGAATATTAATTCAAAGGAAAGTCTGTAATATTCTAGGAAGAAACAGGTATCTATGATCCAACTAAAAGATATGCCTATGTTATCCATGATCTTCTGAGTGACATCTTTTCAGAATAAAAGTAGGTTATGTATATTGTGAATCCTTTCTTTTCATAGCCTCTGCAAGTTTGAGTGGTGTCCCCAGTGAAGATGAACAGCAGCCATGTTTACAGCAGAATGTGCAGAACACGTCTACCAGCAATGGTTTGGGTAATTGATTGCTTTTATGTCAGAATGTGTCTATATACGGATAATTATTTTGTCCTTGAAATATATTTAACTTGTGATTCCCTTCTAACAATTGACTAATACTTCTGCCAGGTTAACCTCTTTAGAGAGAACTTGGCCTCAGTACCTGTATAAGATATTGCATGATGCGGAATGTTAATATGAATATATGCATGTCACAATGTGTTTGATATTACAGTGCCAACACCACCACCCACTCCCCCAGTCGATGGCAAGAATGTAAGAATAAGCACAAAGCGGAAATCGGCCATCATGATTCCAATGTTAGTGCCAGCCAAACGAGAGCGTGGTAAAGCAGTTGAACTCTCCTGGGGCAACACTTCCAAGAAATTACAGAGAATAATGCAACAGCAGCTAAATGAGACTGAGAAAGACAGCGAAGAAAACGCTGTAGATGAAGTGCGTTCTTTAACTCCACCTTGTAGTCAAGAACAATCTCTTGATGAAAATATGCCATCTTCTTCAAAAGATGAAAACATTGCTGTTGTTATTGGTCAGAAACCAGAACTTAGTTCAACATATTTTGATTCCATCCCAGATCATGATTATTGCCAAAATTTTCCAACTCAGGTTGTTGATAAAAGCATTCATCCTGAAGAGACTGACCTTAACCAGGTTGTTCACAAAAATATGACCAATCAAAGCACATCTGCCTTTCAGGAAGATGATAACGAATTTGGATATGAAAGATATTCTAAATTTTCAAATGAAAGGGATTACACTTGTAATACACCTGAAACTGAAAAAGCATCATTCAGAGATATGGAGAATAACAAGTTTACCAGACAGAAAAGAAACTACAGGAAAAATGACAAAAAGGATGATGAACCAGTGTTTGATAAGTTGCCACAATACTTCACTGTTCTCACAAAACCCAAACTTGTTCGCAAAGACAAGTGTGGTAAAGTTGAAATCAACCTTGATGAAGAGGGGAAGGAGCGTGAAGCCTCTCCAACTAGGGAGACGTTATTTGACAAGTTGCCAGCCTATTATAGCTGCTTTACAAACAGCACTAAGTATGATGGATCAGAAATGGTATCCTTGTCTGAGGAGACCACTGCAAAAGGCAACGACTCTGAAGAAGATGGAGAAATTCATGATACTGATGCTTCAAAAGGGGAGAAGATGAATGAGACTGAGCAAAAATATCCGTGGGACAGATTACGGGATAAAAACATTTCAGCTCAATCAAGTAGAAGTCAGACTCCACTTATCATAGATTCCCGATCAGGAACACCCTCATTATCTAGGCCTCAGTCACGTTCAAGGTCAAGGACAAATTCGCCATCTAAGAATCGTCGCTCGCCAATTCGCAGTTCAAGACATAGAAAGTCACGCTCACCTAGAAGAAGATCATACTCGTCAGATTCTTGCTCCAGCTCAAGATCAAGGTATATTTATTTGAAGCAGGTATTTTTGTAATGTTTTGTAATTGGCATGTCTGCATATGATGCTTTATCACGATGGTCTTCATATTCACTCAAGTGTTGATGAATCGCCTTTTGGCAACCCTTACTGATGCAGAGTTATTTTCTGTTTGATTTATGCATTTAGATGGGTACAAACGTGTTCAAATTATCAATTGTTTTTTTCGTTAGGTCTAGAAGTGCAAGCTCAGACAAGTCTAGATCCAGGTCATCTAAAAAACATTCAAGAAGATCCCAAAGAACAAGGTCAAGGGCAACTAAATCCAGGTCAAGGTCACCATCTACTTCAAGGTCACGATCTAGGTCAAGGGCTTCTTCTAGGTACAGAAGATCAAGATCTCCACTTTCCAGATCAAGATCACGGTCACGTGAAAGCACAAGACGCTCCAGAAGATACCATCATAGGCACAATAGAAGAAGCAGGTATGCATTTAAAGGAAGTTTGCCCACTTTTTTTCAAGCTGAAACCCTTTGTTGTTAGCATGTTTTTTAAAGTATTATTCAACACTGGTTTTTAAAAATTCTTATAGAAATTTCTTTTATTATGCACATTGACATAAAAAAAACTAATACTTACTGTTCACTATTGCTTTTAAGTATGTCTCTGCTTATTTATGATGCTATTTGGACACTTGTACATGATGATCCCAATTTGACACCTCTTATGGGAGTGTTGCTGACACAATGAATATAACTTGCTTACTGAGCAAAACTGATACAAGTGACCGGAATATTCAATAATGGTATGAATAATTAAGGATGAGCCACAGTTTGTTTGGTTTTGTTTGCACCTTGAGTTGATTTACCTGAAGACTTTGAATGAGTCCGACAAATCATTGTTTACTAGGTCATCATCTTATGAAGACTGGTGTGCTAGAGAAAGAGAAAGGAAGAAAGAACAACGTGACCAGGAAAAGAAAAAACAGATAGTATGTATAAATTGCAGGGTATTGGTAATGAACATGAAAATGGTTCTTGGAAAAATTGTGTCAGTAGACAAAATTTAATTATCCTTTTGAAAAGATTGTTATTGCTTGTTCTCAGTGAATTAAAAGCAGATGGTTGCAACATACTATAATCTATAATTTAATTTCAGGAAGAGAGAAGAATTATATATGTTGGAAAAATTCCTGACAACTATACCAGGCGGGATTTGAGGCGACGATTTGACAGATTTGGACCAATAGAGCAAGTGGGAATACACTTCAGGGAAGACAAGTACGTGTGAAATAATCAACTGTCAAACTTAAGGGATAATTTTTGCATTTGTATTTTACTTTTGTGTGAGAGATTAAAATACCATCAAAAGTGGCACCTATTTTTGATAGATAAGCTTATAATAACCTAAATTGCCTTGTAGAAGTTAAATGAGATGAAAGAAATTTTTTACTAATTGTTTGTTTTCTACCTAACAAAAGTCAAACTGTGGAAATGCGTACACAACTTTTAAAAATGAAAAGTGCACACTTGCTGCTTTAGATTACAAACAAAGACAAGGGCTTTTACTTGTGAATGCAATTGCACAGGTGCAAGTACTCTCTCTCTCTCTCTCTCTCTCTCTCTCTCTCTTCAAGTGGATGTTCAGTCCAATAATGTATTGAAGTAGTCAGTATTGACTTAATATCTACATTCAATCATAGAACAGTTATGTTTAGTTATGTTTTTGAACTCCAGCTTAATAGTAATTTTTCTTTTCAAGCGACAACTATGGCTTTGTGACATTTGCCTACACCTGTGATGCTTATGCTGCCATTGAAAGTGAGTATATACATATTATTTTTTTCAGTGACACCTGCAATTCATTTCATTCAAATATGTTTTGACAACATTACTGCAATGTTTTGTCTAATGTCCATCAAAAAATGGATTTGTTATAAAAATATGGTAGTGCTCCTTTTTTATTTGGATTTGGTCAGCTCCATAAGTTTTAGAAATGTTGGATTTTATTTTTTAAATCGAAGAAATAACATAAAAAGTTTATTAAATCTAAGTTGCAAGACGTGGATAAAAAGAACTTTTATTGTGCACAGTGAAATAAAGAATGGATGATGCTAGGCCTGTTACTTGCCAATTATAAAATTTTTTTTATGTATAAGCACGCTGTAATGCATGTTTGAACGGTTTTATAAATACAGTTTTTAATGTACTTTTAGAGGGAAACCGCATCAGAGGTGAACCAATTTTTGACCTTTGTTTTGGAGGAAGACGAGAATTTTGCAAAAACAGCTATGCTGATCTTGGTAGGTTGCATGAAATTTTCTTTTGCATTTTAAGATCAAAAAAGAAAATATGGTACAAATGTCAAGAACCAAGTGACACAATCTCTCATAACAGATTTATTTTGACACTTAAAAAAAATTCCAATAGCTGTTTTTAGATAGAGATTATGGATTTCAACTTAAGTTGCCTCTTTTTCAGACGGAAACAAAGAAGTTGAGGAGGAATTCCTTCCCTTCAATCAACCTCCAGTTGGTGGTGACTTGGACTTTGATTCTCTCCTTCAACAAGCAAAGATAGCAATTAAAAAAAATAAAAAGTAAACTTGTCAGATACAGAGAAAATTAACGTCTCACTGTAGATGGGGTTAAAATCGGTTCTTTATGATAGTACACGTGGAGTTTTGTTAAGACCAGTGTGGTGGGAAATGTTTGAAGTGAACTGATATATGAAATTGTTTATGTAACATTGCTTGTTATTAAATCTTGTGCAATAGTTTGTCTTGTGGGTTTCTAGAGAAAACTGCTTTGTCATATTTTTTGATATATTTCATTTACAGATTGAATAACAATTATTGTGGATACTTTGTGTTAATGCTAGAATTTTTTCACATGTGCCTAAAGAGTTGTATTTATTATGGTAAACTTGTCAAATTGGGCCTTTAAAAATTTTGGTTAATAAAGTGTCTTTCCTGGAAGATCATAATATTGTTTACTTTCTAATGAAAAAGTTGAATGGTAAATTTCGGAGTTTGCCAATTATTTTGTGATTTATTTCTTTCAACCAAAAGCTAATACACCAAATTTGTGACAGTACTGAGCAAAGAAAAATGTTTTGTGCTTTATTTTGTCCTGAGGTTGGAAGAGGGCCAGGCTGAGGAACCAGCACTTGAAATATCAAAATTGTGTTGGGGATATTGCTACAGACTGCCATGATGTACTAAATGGCATAGAGCAAATAAGTGTTGTGTCTTGAAGGTTTATGGATCCATATTGCCTTGGGTTTGTAACTTATAAAATATTGATAAATTGATTTCCCTGGCACCTGTAATATCAAACGCATCCAGTTCTCCAAGGGTTTATCATCGTTTCACAAGGCACCTGTTATGTCTAATTTGGAACTGATTTTAGAGCCCTGCCCCTTTTGGTTATCACCCACTGATAATTTCCTAGTATGTGTGTAAATACTCTGATAAAATTGTATCTATTCAGAAAAATGGTTACTTGTTTGTTTGGACAAGGATGTGCTTCTCAGAAAAATTAAAGTTTGAGCATGACCTACTTCTATTACTTGCACAAACTGAAGCATCCATATGAAAACAGTAAATCTTTTGATAGTTTACAAAGCAAAAACTAAGAAAAACGATATTCAAGGATGTTGACACTTCCACAAAGTTAATTTAATGAATGTTTAAAACGTGGCTCATCAAGACTTGATAACAATTTGTTTTGCTCATTGTTAAAGCCCTATGTCAGCAATCTAATCTAAAGGTAGTACCTGATGTACCTGACAATAAGCTACAATGGAATTTGTGACCCAGTTGGGTGTTGAAATCTGCAATCAAAGGTGGTTGAAAGTCCAGCTGCCTGACTGACACAGTGGTAGACATGGTGTTCTCCTTGAAGTTGATGTTACTTCTCCTGCCAGCTGTGTTGTGTGGTAAAACTGTAGAGGAATGGAAGGGGCGGATCATCTATCAGGTAAATTGTTATACACATTGATTGATAGAGATACTGCTTTGATTAAAACATTTTTGCACTAAAAAAGAGAAGGCAGTAAGATTAATAGGGATTGCCATTGCACAATCGGTGATAGTTTTTCATGTTTTCACATCAATTTGAAAGTTACATATTTTCAAAAAAGTGTGAAATCAAAGCTGAAAACAAAGAATATTTGTTTTTTAACACTTGGACAAATCGGACAAACCAAGGTACCTGTATACTGGAAGACATTTTCTAAGGTACTTGAAATGTGAATGTGTAGACCAAGTCCTATTTCGATCTGCTGTTTTATTCCCAGATCCTAACAGACCGTTTTTCTCCTCATGGACCCACTCCCAGCACTCCTTGCACAGCTTTGCGTAGTTACTGTGGAGGAAAATTCAAAGGAATACAGCAGAGGCTGGACTACATCAAGGGCCTTGGTATATATTGTATTATACAGTCATGTTACAAAGACAGTATTCATTTTGGGTGTGCTAGAACATTTTAACATGTATATTTAAGTATGATAAAACAGATCAGCATCTCTGTACGAGGTACACATACTGGTACTTTGTTAAAACTGTAGACTGCAAGATACTGTATATGTTAGGGAACCATATTTCTCTGCATGAAAATTTAGGTCTTGGGCAAAGAAATGCAAATTTTAAATTTTACTTGTAGGTGCCAATGCTATATGGATATCACCCATAGTGCTGAACACACCAGGAGGTTTCCATGGTTACTGGGCAAAGAATATTTATGAAATTAACCCAGAATTTGGCACCAAGCAGGACCTGAAGGATTTGATCAAGGCTTGTCATGACAAAGATATTTGGGTTATGGTGGATGTGTAAGTACTTGAAACAGTCCGCAACAGAAGTAACATTCTTTCATACATAAATCTAACCCATGGAAACTTGGCCCATGTAGTGATGATGGTGTATATATGTTTTGTTACTGATGTTTCTCTTTGGAAAAGTCAGTGATGCATGGGGAATATTGACATTATATTATTTATTTTAGGGTTCCCAACCACATGGGGTACAATGATGGCTGTTTCTGGAATAATCCTTGCACACCAACAAAACTGAATAACTTCACTGGATTTGTACCTTTTGACAAACCTGAGTACTACCACCAGTATTGTGAAATTATGGACTGGAATAACCAAACAGAGGTAAGGAGCACAATATGTAGTATAAAGGGTAGGTTAAGTATAGTCATATTATTGTAAAAGATTACTGCAAAAGAAAAATGTTAAGAATGATTTAAAATACAAATTCCATTGTTTTTTTCTTTTGTACTTGCAATGCCAAACATCTCATTTATGTATGTACCCACTACTTGGAAGATTATTCTGTCCCTTCAATAGGTTGAATTCTGCCGGTTGGCCCATCTCCCTGACTTATCCCAAGAGAATGACATTGTAAAAAGATTATTACTTGACTGGATTGGAAATTTGACCATCAACTATGACATAGATGGATACAGAATTGATACCCTAAAATTGGTAGGTGTATTGATTTTTACTAGTAATCATATAATCTGTTGGTCACTGTATGTTAAATTTGACTAAATTGAAAGGATCTCATATGAATTGACAGATGTGTGAGAGAAAAGTTCCTATTACAAGTAATTACTATTTGGCACAAGCTGGGAAGTTTTTCCTAGCCATATATGTTAGCTTGTGGCTAACTTGAGTCGATGGAGAAATCAGATGAAGGCCTACAATCAAATTGGTTGCAAGCTTAAGTATGGCGAGGAAAATTTTCCAAACTTGTGTAAATAGTAATTGTATTTATAAATACCAAGCAAAAAGTCGTATTGCAGGAAATAAAGGTTTTTATATTTTAATATCTCATTCTCAAGGTACCAAAATGGTTCTGGAGTGAGTTTCAGGCCCGTGCAGGAGCATACTGCATTGGTGAAGCAACTGGTTCAGACCCACAGTATGTGGCAGGCTATCAGGACTCTGTAGATGGTTTACTCAACTTTCCTATGTATAATGCCCTGAGAGATGTATTCAATGAAAATAAAAGTATCAGGAACCTCACAAAAAAGATACAAGAACAGGTGTGTCTCATTGAGATGTGTGTGATTGAATTTGAAGTATAAGGGAAATTGTTAAGTGCTTATTGAATTACTTCCACAGTTTTGTTACAGATTAGTTACAGAATTTTTTTAATGAAAAAATGTTTCCTTAATTTTTAAGATGTCCTTGAAATGTCAGAAAATTTGTATCACAAAACATGTATACTGTCCTTAATCTTTGAAGAGTCTTTTAAAATGTTAAATTATACTTCTAGCAGCCACTCATCAGTCAATTTGTTTTCTTTTTTAGCGCAGATATTTCAAGGAGCTGTCCCGTCATGGTCTTTTCCTTGATAATCATGACCAGAGACGATTTCTTAACTGGACAAGTGATTACACCGTACTTAAAAATGCTCTGACTTATGTCATTCTCGGTGAGGTATGGCTAAATTTCTTTTAAAAAGTATGAATTCATAAGTACATTGTCCCAACAATTAAATATGAATTAAATTGAATATTATTTGAATTCTAAATTTTAACAAGGAATTTATGAAATGCAGAAAAAAATGACACTTAATGCATTGTAAATCTATCAATGTTTTTATAGGGAATACCTATAATTTATTATGGCACTGAACAAGGCTTCAGTGGAGGGCATGACCCAAATGACCGGGAGTCACTGTGGCCATATTACAGTACTCAGTCAGATATATACAAGGTTAGTACTTTAATTTAATATTCCAAATTCAATATACCAAGTTCAGTAGTTTCAGTAAAAAATACCCTTGTTCTATGATGAAAGAAAATCCTGTGAATAAGATGAAGCCCAAAGTATCAGAAAATAACCAAATATATGTGAAATGAACTCACTATGCCCTCATTTTTATTCATTGGTAATTGATATTGTATAATCATACATTTTTTTCTTTGAAACAGTTTATTGCTGGATTGACCAAATTGCGCCTGTCTCACCTATCACATTTTGTCTCTGGTGGACAGAGAGAGATGGCAGCAAATGATGACTTTTTTGTTTTCACAAGGGGAAAGGAAAATCAGGTAAAAATGTAGTATGTATGTTCATTATTTTTAAAGATTCTAGAAATATACAATTAGTAATGTTAATTACAAATTATTCAAAATAACAAAAGAAATTTGGGATGCAATTATAACTAACTTACAAAATTTGATAAAAGAAGTCTGATGTATCAGTCATTTTAATATATATACAAAATGCATTTTTAACTTGCAAATAATATTACTGAAAGAGAATTTATGAAAAATTATGCCAATTTATCAATATTTAAATCACATATTTTATAAACCACATATTTTCAATTTAATTCTTTTCATTTCTAGTTTCTAGTTGTTTTAACCAACAGAGGCAATACCTCAGGTACTCTGGAGTGGAATGTGCAAGTACCAGTGCTGAAAGCTGAAACAGGTAAGTTACTTGTATATTTGGATATTTAACTTAAGTTTTTCTCATAATGGACTTTTCAAAAATAATTTTTAATTGTTTTATTAACTTAAAGGTGACTTAATGAAAAGTTTGTCATTCTATTTGTTTTATCATGAAATCTAGTAATTTTGGAAATATTTTCCTTTTTTACAGTCTACAAAAACTTTTTTGATGAAACAGACACTGTAACTGTGGACAACGGAACTTTAAAACTAAAACTTACGGGAGGACTTCCCAAAGTATTCCTTGCAGTTCAGACACCAACTTCAAAAGCAGAGAGGTCCTCAGGTATATGTAATGTAAAAATATAAATTTCAATCGTTTTTCAATCAAGACCTATTTTTTTTTTTAATGATGGAATAGTGCTGAATACTTTTTAGACTATACAAATGGTCTTTTCATGAAATGATGGAGTACTGATTTTATATTCTTTGAAAAACCATTTTGATGTCAGGGACTGCACAAACAGATATGCAACACAGCCCTTAGCTCTTTTATAATTGAACAATCAAATTAAACTGTAAAGATTATATTATTGGTGCAGATCGGCACCATGAACTAAGTCAGATTTTAATCAATGCTATATTAATTTGATAAGGTATACGATGAACTCATTTTGACAATTGATAGAGAGATTTTAGATTTGAAGAAGTCATAGCAACATATTGTGGCAAGTCAACATATAATAGGTGTGCATAATCAGGTGAAAAGGGACAACAAATCCAAGTTATTTAATCAAACTGATAATATCTCTGCCTTATAAAATTGTTTGATTGAAATTGATGGTCATTAGAAGTACATATCAATAGAAGAATAAGGCCCTGTTGAAAATTATGCATTCATTTCATTCTAATACCCAGCGGAAATTCTGCATGCATGGTGGATGTTTAATTTAACTGATTTTACACACAAAGAAGTAAAAGACATTCCAAATCCATTCACTACAATCATATATACTAAAAAAGTATTCATCGTAATAGTACCTAATCTACTTAATCTTTCCTTATGAAGGTGTGACCTGGAAACTGGTATTTGTATGCATTTTGCTTCTCCACCTGCTATCTCTGGAGTGACCTGAGCTGACACAGGCAGCACAGCCAATGGGACCATAGAACTAGACTGTAAACGATCATGGTGTAGAAAACATGTCTGTAAACTGTCCTAGAGTAGAAAACATGTCAGTAAACTGTCTTGGTGTAGAAAACATAATTGCAATTTGTCTTGGTGTTGAAAATTTGTCTGTAAACTGTATTTATGAAGAAAATGTCAGTAAACAGTTCTCTTGTAGAAAACATGCCAGAATGCAGCCCTGGCATAAAAATATCAAATGTCATATTGTAGACAACATTCATTCTGGCATAAAAATCTCAAATGTCATATTGTAGACAACATTCTAGTTAAACTTACATTTGTAGCAATTTGATTCCCTGTAACATATATATAAATCACATACTACTACTAGTTTCTTAAAGGACTCAAATAAAGTCCACTTGCTAAAGGATAAATTTCCAAAAGCTTTAAAACCTTACCTTCTTCAAAATTTTGGTTGAAACCTGGGTTTGAAAATCTCCAAAATGCTTACATTTGCCATCTGCAGCTTCTTATAAAACCTTATGTATACCTTAAATTGATTTAACCACTGAAATATTTTTTCTGGAGCATACCGGATGTTGATGTTTCCATTGGAGCTTATAGAAATATGGTTGCTGTTATAATAACTGGCCGGTCATTTTAAGCTTAAATTATACTTTATTTTATAATTTTTTATCAAAGGCTGAATTCAAATGCAGAGAGGGATAGATAAATGATTAGCAAGTACAAAAAATTGTCTCTTTTCCAGGAAAGCCCATTTTGATGGGTAAATCTCATGGCATGTACCTTTAAATTATGCTATTTGAAAGTTTATGGTGACATTTGGTCAGGTTAAGTGGCAAAGATTGACTTCATATATGGAACTTAAAAAAGTGTCCTGGCATAAAATTGTCACTGTATATGTGCTGTCATTCGTGAACGTCATTTTACCATCATATTCTAGAAAACCTGTTAACATGTTGACTTGATGTAGAAATTAAACTTGCGCTGTTTTAGTGAAGATATATGCTGCCACAAAATGTGTAAAGGCCAGCTATTTCAGTGTAGAAAATGTTAGTTTGTTGTCATGGTGTAAAAAATGTGTTAATTATATATGTTGTCATGGTGTAAAAAATAAAAATTTGTTTGTATATATGTTGTCATGGTGTAAAAAATGGAAATAGAAGTAAAAACACAACAACATTCTTATAAGGCAAAAAATTATTTTCTTGTCAGAAAAAAATTTAAAGGTGGTGTAAGTGACAGTGCATGTTTTATGTTTCCTTTTTTTCTAATAAACACTCAGTCTAGATCCCCACAATTCATGTAACATGCCTTGAATGCTATGCGAAGTAGTTAATTATTTCAACTTTTGCTCAGTTAAAATTTGTGGAAAAAAATTTTTTTGAGGATGAAGGTGGATGAGAGATGGGTATTAAGTTAATAGTAATGATTACTCACTGACAATTAAGGGGGCTGTTATATGGGTACTGTTAACTACAGAGATCAATACATGTAGCTGTATACTTCAAATGTGTGCATGTACTATATATTAACACAAGTGGATGATAAAAATTGTTCATTTAGTTATATTTATATCATATGGCCTGGTGTCCAATGAAACTGTCAACTACCTTCTACTAACATGCATAAACACTACAGGGGTAGTGGGCCACCAAGGGCACATGTGTCATGGTGAAATTCCTGAATTTTACTTTATTACTTGAGTGCAAAAAATACAGTCAACATAAAGGTTTTTTAATTCCTGTGCTGCACTGCTGGCTCTGACGCCATCTTGCCAACTTTGCCCAAAAGATCCCCCCCTCCCACACACACACACACACACACACACACACACACACTGTCCAAATGCTGACCAAAAACCAAAAAAAAAAAAGTTGGCAAGGTTTCAAGCTCTTGGCAACTAGAAAGATATATATTTTCCTTTTTTCTTTTTGGTCTTATTAGTGAAAGGGTGTATTAAGGATGAGTAAGAAACTTAATTCCAAATTCTCAGAATAAGCTTATTTAACTTTTCTAAGAATTGTACTTTGATGAAATTGAATGCCCATTATTACTTTGTCTGTATGTAGTATGCTACAATAAAGTGTTGGAAAAAAAAGCAAATTAACCATTAAAAAATTATAAACACTTCTTTTATATGTGTGAATATAAAACCATTACCAGAGTTTGTTTTTTTGATGTTGCCTGCTAGGCATGTAAAGCTAACCCCATTTTTTTTCAGATCATCTAAAAACATAAATCTGATTACCTTATTTTGAAAGGTTTCTTACATTGTCATTATTAACAGGAGTTTTGCTGAGATAAACCCTGTTCACCAGATAAGCTAAATTATCTCTTTCAAGTTGCTGTGGCCATCCATAAGACTTGAATACAGCTCAGTTTCAGAAATAGCATTTTTGAGTTTTTTTTGCTGCGTGCCTATTTTTTTAAAAGTTTTTTTTCAGTCTCGTTTAATTTGGCTTGTCAACAAAATATAATGAATCCTTCATCTTTCTTCAACGTTTTGACATGGCATTGATACCCAGAAACTAAAAAAAAAAAACTTGCCATTATTCTAAAAAAAATGAAAAATTATATTGGGTTTTAATATCCATTTCAGCTCAAACCGAATTTAGCAATTGAAAAAAACAAAACAAATAAGTTGCTTACCACAAATGTTTTAAATCTATGTCCAACTTATATCAAAGGCAAATATCAAAATCCTTTGAGCTTAATTCATCTTCATTATGGATATTTCTTTTTTAAGTATAATTATAAAGTTGCTCCATTCATAGATGTTGTAAGTTTAGGAACATGGCCTTGGATAAAAAGCCAAATATACTTATTTTTAACAAAAGGTATTTATAGCCTTGTCTTCTAATAAACAAAATCTCCATTTTATAGATGAGCTGTAAATTATGATAAGCATTGCAGAATTTGACCAGATAAGTCAGGTCACAGAAATCCATAGCAGAATGAAATCAGAGTATTTCGATCATATCGTTACCATCTGAGGTTTCCCCTTGGGTCGCTTTCGACATTGTTTTCTCATAAATCATATATCAGTCAGACAACATACCAAGTGAAATGTTGTCAAGTTACATCCTTTTATATCAAATTTTATTCTTTGAAATTTGGCACTTATTTCTGATAGTTTGGGTCTGAAATTTCATGAATGAATACTTAGTATTACTGATTAAAACATAATAAAAGAGGTATTTCGTTTCTTCTTATTTTGATAAATCTAGCAATGAATTACCTTGGTTCCTTTGGTTGAAGAATTATTTTTTGTGTAGGCAATTTTATTCTCTATAGACTTGCAAAATGTACAATTCTTTTTTAAATGTTTTGTTTTAGGTACATATTACTTTTTTAACGTTGTGCATTGGTGCTATGAATATATCATTTTTAGTTTATAAAGAAACCGAGGTCAAATTCAGGACAAGGATTGTCGTCAGGGAAATGATGAATTATTCTAACAGCTCTCTGCGAATGTTTTCACATTAAGTTATCGGTAATGACCTTTAGAACAGAAAAAATCACTTTGACCTTATTTGTTCGATTCCTACGTGGCCTCATATTGACCTGCTTCCCTCTCACCTCAGCTGCCCCAGCAGCCTTACAGTATATGTGACCTGACCGTAAGTTCCAGCGGTAAACACAGACTTTAGCTACTTTCATAATTCCTGGTTTTAAAATTTTACCTTTAAATTTCCTTTTCTTTTTTATTTCATGCATGTGTTTTGACTGATGTAAAATACAATATTCTTTTCATAAACTCCCCCCCCCCCCCCCAGTAAGGTTTTAAAGAAAACCATTGAATTCAGTAAACACCACTTTTGCAGTTGTGCTATTTTAAAAGAAGAAAATAGTAATTATAATAATAATACCTATGTAAAACATTTAGTCTGATTTCAATTCATAAAGGGTCACAAGTTTCGAAGATAAAATTAAAGAATTGGTAGAAAATCAGCTATAAGACATTAATCAAAATGGCCATTACTGATGTAGGTTTCAGGCAGCCTCATCTGGAATTTCCCCAGATTACACAGGGAAATGGTCTGAAGGAAGTGCAGGGATGATGGTTGTTTGATTCTAGATTCTGGCATCATTTTTCATCCTCTGACTACATCCTTCATCTTGTATTGGATATTTATTTGTTCATTACCCTGTAGATATAAAAAAAATTGTAGACCTCCACTTTCCCTGACAAAAATCACTGCAGCTATTTTTCAGTAAGCTCCGCTGAAATTAATGTCATACTTTGATATTTTGCTCAAATTATTAACCAGATAAAATTTTCAAACCATTGACTTATTGAGTCCAAAAATCCAAAAATGAAGGAACTGAATCTTTATTTTAATAATAATCAATTACAAAACAACTTAATCTTAAAAGCATTATTATTATTATTATTATTATTATTATTAAATTATCGTTTCTATCTCTTTTATCCACTTTTAATTTTGTGACAAGTTGTCTAAAGAAATGACACTTTGCACTTTTCTGGTTAAATAAAGTGTTAACCTGATAACCAGAATATCAGTTATTAACCACTTAAATATGGCAAAGTTAAATGGTTTAGTAGTTGATAGGGAACCTATGTTGTTAAAAAAAAAACTTGTGTGTATTTTTTTTTCTTTATGTCTTTTCCCTTCTTTTTCTTGTCCATTTATTGGACTGCACACCAGGAAATGTTTGAACCTTTACTAAGTAGTTTATACGCTATGTTTTGCAGGTATTCTTTGTGCAGATGTCACCTTGAATTTCCATATTTTCCCCATTCTCCCAGCCAAACAATAGGTGCACTCTAATTTTCTGAAAACAATTGCCAGGAAATAACCTGACCTTATGCTACTTGCTTAGAGGTTGAATAAATTTCACGAAACAGTTACTCTCAACTTGAGTGAGACCAAAATAATCAATCATTCCTGCCAGCCACATAAAAAAAGCACTGGAGTTTGATCCCATGTTTAGCTTCTCTTCCACAGTTTGTTTTCTTCTTTTGTCAATATTGTATTCCTATAAGGTTGAAGAAATGTCTGGGTTACTGTGTAAATTCCAACATACATTATCCCTTTTTTTTTTTTTTTTTTTGAAGAAAATTGATCTGCTATTTTTCATGTTGTAAAATCTAGTGAAAATTTTATGTGAAAAACTATTTGCAGAAAAATGACTCAGCAACTGCTTGGTATGTGTGATTATGTCTGATTTGTAAATATGACCATCAGATGAACTCTTAGTCTCCTTCCTTTTTTTTTTTTTTTTTAGTTTTACGATAGATGTTAGGTTCACTCACATGGAATACATTTCCTCAATCAGTATTTTTTATTTGAAAATATTTTATACACAAATCTCACCTAATTATTTTGCATGGCATGACAAGTTTTAGTCTAATCCAAAATGATCAACTTTGCTTGACAATGTGAGGTGTTAATTAATTTGCATTTCTCAATCTGCTTGACATGCGCATTTGTATCACTAATGATATCTCATCATTCCACCCCCACACAATTTTTGATCAATTCATCCATTTAATAGAGGCTGTAAGTAATGTGTTTATTACATCATTTTATTTATTTGCCTCTCCCATCATTAAGAGTTGACCAAGCAATGACCTCTTGTTTTCCCCATACATTCAATAGCATGGCCTGGTGAACTCTTCTGTGTGCCCTTGACTTCACCTCATGACCAGCTGGTGAACTTAGGCATGTCTGGCCACTAAAAAGGCCTAGGTACAGAAATTGACATAATTAGCTGTTTAACTAGGCAGACTTTGACATGGGCGCTAGGGGGTGATGTCATGCAGCAGGGGTTCATTGTTTTAGTCTATGGAACTTGGGTTTAAAGTACCGGGGCAAAATCCAAGCCATATCTAAAATAAACATGTTTGTGCCGGTTTAAGTGTGGAGTCACTGAAAGGCTGAAAGAGTAAAGAAATACTTTATCGCACTGTATATTTATCTATCCCCCCTCTGAAAGAAATGGTATAGTCTGCTCTACTAGCTGTGGACATTCAATATTGCGACTCTATAGAAGCAGCCACAGGTGTGTTGCGAGCTAAAATAACAGGTAAATTAATTTTAACTTGTGACCAATATTTAATTGTGCACATACTGACGGTTTAATTTAGTTGGCATGGTTGAGCTTCAAGACAGTTCCACGTAGAGTTTCAAGGAACTTCAGTGAGGTAATGTACAGTATATATATATATAACATTTAAATAAGACTCTACTGATATTTTTATTTGTCAACTATATCTCTGGGTTAAGATAGATTAAAGACATATGTTGTTTTCTGTCAAAACGTAGTTAAGTTACTTTTGTTAAAGAGGATACATATTTTTATGAAAAGAAATACCACTTAAGTTGTTTTTTTTATGTTTTAGATATATCATACTGTAAATTTTTCGTTTAATGAAACAGGAACACTGTGAAAAGTAAAAGTAGAAAGTATTAAATACAAAGCATCTGTAAATTATGGAATTAGTTTTGGGGATAAAATTGTTGTGCATTTTAGGAAAGGTTACCATATTACCAGTGTGCAAGATGTGCAGGGATTTGGCAGAAATGTTTTTTTTTTCTAAGCATCCTTTATTTTGTCAGAGAAATAAAATGAATCAGTATATTATTTGTGTATGGTACATTATCTACATCTTGCTTAATGATTTTCTTAAACTGAATAAGAGTGAAAAAATCTTAACTATTTCTCATTCTTAACACAAAAATTTAATGTCAATTTTTTTTACAAGATTAAAAGTATGGTTGTGTCAACATAGACTGGAATATAAATGTTCATTATGACTGTGTTGGCAAGCTAGTGTAATATGATGATACAAATGTCTCACAGTGAAAAAAACAAGGTTGACATCTCATTGTATTGATTTTAGATGGTATCAGAGGCATTGTGAACAGAGGTTGAATTCCTAGCTATTGAATATACATGCATGTGTAATTATCGGTTTGTTTCTTGTTTTTATTTTGAAAAGTCTAGAAATGTAATAATGGTTGCAATTACCATTATAATCATCTTAATGATTATGTTTATTTGTGTCAGGATAAGAATTTTGTGACAGAATATATTTTGTTCATTATAAGTAATTTGTATAAATAAACTGCCTGAAATAGCAAATGATCTAAATGTACATTTGTCTTGTACTTGATTTAGAATTAATGTATCTTGCTTTGCCCATTGACTTGTACTTGATTTAGAATTAATGTATTTGCTTTGCCCATTGAAGGTGTCAAACAATGTTATTTTTAGTGAAGTGCAAGGGCCTTTGGGTCACATCCAGTTGAATTTGCCATATAATTTTTCATTTCATCTTCATGCTGGCCATTAAGTATGCCATTTAAATTCACTGGAATTTTATTGTTCGGAATATGACCTTTCTCTCTTTCATGAGATAGCATGTCTATGTGTGGAACCTCCCCTTTTATCCCCACTGAGGTCAAATATCAAAAGTCATAAAATCCCATGTGGCAGGTTCACACAGGTCATGTATTAGGTAATGCCCTGGGTAATCATTTGACTCACACTGCTTGCTAATGTGTCAGTGGACTTTAATGAGGGGTCATGGGGACAAGGGTTATACCTTGAGGTCAGTTGGATATTTTGGACAACTCACTTATGGTCAGGTGCTGCCAGTGATCAGGTTATGATAGTGGGCAGCTGCAGGGAGGAGGAGTAGGTAGGTGATAGTACAGGACTGAGCCGATGGGCCAATTTTCTGACTCTTTGTTAGACTTAAACTTATGAACTGAGAAATATTTATGTTCTTGCTGAATCAAGTTGTATAAATCAGACTGACTCTTTGGGGCCGTAGCGATAGTCCGAAGGTTCAATAGTCCGAAGGTTCATTGGTCCGAATGTTCACTATAGAACCTTCAGACCAATGAACCCTTGATTAAAAAATCGATAAAAATGTTACCACTTTTCGGACCAATGAACCTTCGGACCAATGAACCTTCGGACTATCGAGACGCCCCCGACTCTTTTTCCACATATGGACTAGAATATAGTTAGTACTTGGTATATAACAAGAATTTTGTGTTTTTGTTTATGGACAGCGTATGAGAATTTCATATACAGTGCATTGTACTGTGTATAACATCTACTGCATGGTATTTAAATTTCAAACAAATTTGCAGTGTTTTTGCGTAAATGCATAATTCACACGACTAGACTTGACAATGTACAATGATGGCTTGGGAAGTTACACTACCTATGAGGTTGGTTTGATCAAAAAGACCAGCAATTAGATCCCATTCAAAAAGAGCCCAGGTGTTGAGAAATTTCAAGGAAATGCTGAATTTGAATTTTGCCTATGTATTGGATATAATTATTGTGACACATCAAAATACCATTCAATACTCACAGTAAGGACCCTTTATGCATATACCATAACATATATCTGTGCAAATAATTTTTATAGCATGCGTGTATAAAATGCCAAAACTATCATTTATGATCTATTTTCTTCACTTCTCTGCTGCAGTGAAGAAATTGCACATTTTGCTGTTTGCTATGGGGAGTATTATGGCCTATCTAAGCTACATGTGACGCACACACTAGGTCCTTATGATGTTTTGAGTTGCTGTTCTTTTAGATGGTGCTACTATTAATATGTGCCCTCCATCAGCATTAAACATCTTTAATAGCTATGATGAGGTGTGTTCTATGGTGTTAATCTGGGGAGGAGATTGGCAGTGAATATGATAATGCTTAGAGTAATCATTAATACAAGTAAGATTAGATGAAGGATACATACTGGATAGGGATTTTCTCACCACAGTGACCTCTCACTTACATTATACTATTCAGGAAAGGGAGAGTAATTTAAAGCAGTAGATAATGAATAATATTGTCCATTTCATATTTTATAGCACATAGTTTAATTATAAAATTTACCTTTTAAAATATCATAATAAATTACATGATACACAGTGTTTTACTGGAGATAATATTGACTCTGTTAGGTAAGGTACTGTATATGTGTGTGTGTGTGTGTGTGAGTGTTTTTTATTTAAGGCAAGCCTAATTCTCATAACTTTGTGTTATTTTTTACAGTATTGTGACTTTTTATTCTATATAAATTATTGAGAAAAAAGTATAATAACTGAAAGAAAAACATTTACTTCAGCAAGTTAAAAGTATACATTTCTTTGAATGTATAAACATAAGCATCATCTATTGAAATAATTTCTTCAAAAATGTGTTTTTGCAGGCTTACAAAATGATGGACATAAAGAAAGAAGAAAAAAGGCACACAGAGTTATCAGATCTTATCAAGAAGCCACTTGCAATGGTAATTTGTAAGACTGAACCTGAAGACAAAATGGAAATTGTTTCCCAATATTTGAGTCAGAAAGATTATGAAAAGGACATGGAAGTGAGTAGTGATCATGACTCTGAGAACTTATGTGACTCAACAGAAAAGGACTCATTTGAGGAGAGTAAATGTGCCAATGACCATTCATTGGAAGAAAAAGAAGAGTACAAGAATGAGGAGCCCAGAAGCATAATAACTGGCCATGTTACAGTAAAGAGAGATTCTAGATGTGAAAGTGATAGTGAGGGTGATAGCAGTCATATGCATAACAATGGAGAAGCTGAAGACAGTTTGGTTCCTCCAGATTTGCAAAATAGATATGCCAACTCTGCAGTAGCTGCCCTCCTGTTGAGTGGTAAGTAACTTGAAGCACATAATATGTGAACGAGCACTTACAAAAAGAAGATTAGACATCATGATAGTATCTTATCCTTCTAAATATTGTTCTTTTTATTTCGCTTCTTTTACTGCATGGTCTGTTTCTAAAAATACTAAATTGATTTATTACAAATTTCTCATCTGGATTCCTTATTACACATTTGCAAATGCATGCAGAGAAGTATGCACAAACATTTTTGCAAGTTAAAAATGTGTTTGTTTGTTTTTTTAATTAATAACTTCTTCCTTCATCATAACCTTGATAATTTAGATAACAAAGCAGAAGCCTATGATTTTAAACTTCTGCACCAAACTAAGAATGCATTGGATTTTCTTAAAGCTCTAGGTTAAAACCTTCTAATATAGAATAAACAGCTGCAGGTATGTTGCCTGAGCTTTTGAAATTGACCGAGTCATTTGGTGTTGAAGAGATTGAAGCTTCTTGTCCAGAACCGTGAAGTTGGTTGTTAACCCTGGGCAACTATTTATAGTATAAATACACAGTGTTTGAATTAGTCTATTTTAGATGGGTGTCAGAGTTAGAATAATTCTATGTAAATAATAATATCATTTAATCCCTACAGGAACATTGCTGCTGGGGACTTGAGTACATTTATATCAGCTGGACCACCTGGCATATTGTGGTCTGTGTCTTGATCCTCCTCCCCTCTCCCCTTTGACCTGTTCTCTTTTATGATTGACATGGGAAAATAAGCACAATGTAGCATGATAATCAGGTCACTGATTTTGCACATGAGAAATTATCCTGTGATATTTAGCCCAAAGACCTTATACACAAATTTCCTGAAACTAAAACTAAATCATGTTTCTGATGTCATACTTCACCCAAATTGTTTTTAGGCAGATATTCTGAAGATGGCCGAGAAGTAGCAGCTCTGGTATCAAATGCTTCTCATGAAAATGGAAGTGATAAAAATCAGCAATGGCAGTGTCAGTCATGTTCTTTTGCAACGAACAACTATGGCCACTATCAGCTGCATTCAGACTATCACAGAAGAAACAAAACAGGTAGAGGAGTTTAAAGAAAAGTAAAATACATCAAACAAAGTTTAGAATTACCTTTTATAAGGGCCAATCTTTAGGAATTTATAGAAAACAAAACCAGTTTTAAATCAGTTCTAAATAAGTTGTTTGACCAAAATATTTCATAGATCAAAAAGTGACTTTATATTATTCTTCTCTTACTTTTTTTAACATCTCTAAAATTATACCTAATTGCATTTCATCATTAAAGCCACTTTTATTATCATTGCCATTTTTATTATCATTGTAGGTAAAATGTTCCAGTGCAGTAAATGTGATTTCATTGCCAATGAGCGAGGTAAGCTGAGACTCCATCTTCGGGCACACAACTGCAACCAAATCAGTGTATTGCAGTGCAGCAAGTGTCCCTTCTCCTCCCTCATCAGTACCAAATTTAGGGAACATCTCATGAGTGTGCATCGTGTCCCTGTGCCAAGAGATATAGATCTGAAGAAAATCAGTAAAAATTTAACATCGGTACTTCTGCCACCCAAAGATGATCTCACAGAAGCACCAGTCTCCCCTGATTCAGGGGTAAGAAGTTCATCCTCTCCTATTCTGCTAGATGCTCTTGCGGGCAGACTTCTGAACCCAAAGAGGCCCAGTAGCGTACCAAATGAGTGGAGTCATGCAACTCGGAGAGATAACATGACTGAGGAAACCAGGTCTGTGTCATCATTGGCTCTCTCAAGTTCTGATGCCATAATGTGTGACAAGAATGGAGGTTCAGTCAGTCAAAAGGACACCTTTGAAAAAAGAAAAGATCATGTTTTAGAATATCCCAAAGAGAGTGGTTTTGCTTCAGCTTGCCTGCAATCTATTGCCCAGGGCATCAAGAGAGGCCAACAAAGCCAGATCCAGCCATACAGTCCTGCCATCTTATCAGTCTTGACAAAAACATCTGCAGCAGCATCAGCACAGTCATTTAATCAAGCCATATGTACTTCCAGAGGAAAAGAAATGACAAAAGCAACTACCCAAGCAAATTTTGTGAGTAGCACTAGTGTGAGCAATAAACCTAATAGTATGCCTACATTGTACCAGCCATGGACAAATGGTAGCATGTCAGCAACGCCGCAGAAATCTTATCGGTTGACATCAAAGGGGCCGCTCCGCCCAACTGTAGTCCAGCCTGAAGTTTGGAGGCGCTGTTACTTTCAAGACACCTCAACAAGTTCCAGCTTGCCCCATAGTAAACTAATGAAAACAACTGGGGTACAGTGCAGTCTTCTTGAGCCCAAATCTAACACTTCTTCCTTTATACATGAGAGTGATTCTTTCTCTTGTGATTATTGCGGCATAAGGTTTAATGACTCTGTTATCCATTCTATTCACATGGGGTGTCACAGCCACACTGCACCCTTCATGTGTAATGTGTGTGGGCAAGAGTGTGGGAACAAGTATGCATTCTATACCCATATTATGAGAGGTCACCAAAAATAATTGTAAAAAAAAATCTCTTTTTTTTTTTACTTTGCCATAAAATAGTATGAAAAGTAGAAAAAATAACTTCTAAAAATGAAAATGTTCATGACAATTTTTCTCTCTTCAATTTCTTATTGTTTTCACGATTTTCTACTAAACTCAAAATCATGAAATTGAATGCCCATTAAAAAATATCCTGAATCTATCCCCAGTAGAATCCAATTGTTAGTGAGCAACTTGATTGTGTGATTTAAAAAAATTGCATTACTGTATTTTGGTCACTGTGATATTTGTTGTAATTTTCTTTCACATTTGAATTAATAAGCAATTTGAAGAAAGGATAGATAGTGATGACATGGATGTTATTATGCTATCTAAGATATATTTATGAATTTTCATGTAACATTTGATATTGTCTTTTAGCTGTGCACTTGTATATAAGAAGTTTGATTAACCCTTTATCAGTTACAAGAGCTGCCAAAGCACATAATCAAAAATTGAAATAAAGTGCAATTTTCTGTATAATTGTGATCACTGGAAAATGTGTAAAATTAGATTATAATTTTGAAAATATTTATATAGCTTCTAGAAATCTTGACTGACATACAGGTAACTAAACATTGTTTACATACATGTATGTACCAAGTAGATTCATGTTGCATCAAATTTTGGCAGGAAATTCTGAAAATGAATTTAATGGACTGAGTGTGTTCGTAAGACTCGATTTAGCTGTTGTGCTATCAAGCATAACTAAGGAGCTGAATGTGATATTTAAAATTTGACTGTGCATGTCTTTATCCTACTGATGTCATAATGGTTTGTAGAAAAAAATTGATGTTTTGAGATATCTATCTCCCAAAAGAAGAATAAAAAAATGATATATGTATATTTCAGAGTTCTTATCAAAATTGCCTGTCTCAGTACAAGTCATTATTCACTTCAAAAACAAATTGAAGTCTTATTTTCATAGCTTTGAATAAATATCTTGGGGGCCATTCACAATGAGAAGATCCAAGTGCTAACTGGTCCACAGCCTAAATTTGGCGAAGGAAGACTGCTTAATCCTGTAATGGTCTCTTCGCCTCTCACATGCCTACCCACGCGTTGTCCCTTGACCGGGTGAATTTAGCCGAGATTTAATTACTGTGCCCCTGCATTGACGATGCATGGGGAGGTATGAAAGAGATCCCTTGGTCTCTAGCTTAAGTTGAATACAATGTTTTGTTTTAGACCCCACACCCAGATTGATCTAGCAGGATCAACCCATCTCCGAGGGTATTTTCGCTACATTGCAGTCAGCTTAAGCAGCTTAGATGTCTGACACGCCTACTGTAACCGCTAAACGATAGTTAATTACCCCCTATCAGCTTCAGTAGGTATGCCAGTGGGGGCGGGGAGACCATCAGCGGATTAGTCAGCTCTTCTTTCATGTAGGGTCCGCCATATTTGATCTGTGAAACAGTTGATCCTCGGATCTTCTGTTCTGAATGAGCCCTATGTTAATTGTATTCTTGAGGATTAAAAATTAAAACAAGTGTAAATTAGTATTAAATAGTTGTAAGAAATGTGCGAAGATGAGATTCATGACATTTTGTGATATAAAAATATGATTCTGTTGTTATTTTTCGCTTAGCTTGTGTACGTGAATTCATCAGTGAGCGCTACTAAATTACTTGGAACACCCATATTACACTGTAAATATTATACATTTATTTCTTAATTTGAAGGTATTTATTGCCTGCGCTTGGTAAAAATCCAATTGCATTTAAACATGCTTTGTAAATGGGAAATCCGTATCACCTAGATAACATTCAGGTATTGGTTTCAAATATTGACTACTTCGATATGTACATGTACACAAGATTGGACTGCTCGTGGGAGATGTGTTGTTAATTGTGATATAATAATCTTAATTTACTATATTATTAAGAAATCAAAATGTTATATGCATATATCCCAGTCTTCATGTCATGTCATTTTCTCAATTTGATACAGAAGGTACTGATCTTTTCGTTTTAAGAGGTAAATCCAGTCTTATAATATTTAAGCATTTTTGCAATCTCAAAATTGGTGTAAAAATTTTTTCCAACATCCCGTTTTAAACTTACGCCTAAAATTTAGGGTGTTGATAACCACAGTATGTTTAACATACACATGTTAAGCATATTATTTAACATCCCGGTATATCATTAGCAGAAAGCGGTTGACATATCGGCTTTATTATATACTGTTAATTGCCACCTTGTGTTTTTCCGAGTACTAGCTGAAGCTCTAACTGTGAAACTGCACCAATTTGACTGATCAGAAGACGGCCATTGCACGTAAATGCTGGGATGGTTTTGAAAATTGACGAAAAAACTTGTATGCCAAAAATTTGGTCAACTTCAGTTCAAGATAATAGAACCCAAAGTTGCCAACTTACGTTAAGTATGATATTGGTCTATCATTAGTACTTTGATTGAACTACTGCTTATTTTATTCATGTAAAAGTTAACTACCGATTTGTCCCTGATTCTCAGGCTAGTCCCTCCAAGGTTATGAAAATCTGAGGTCTACCTGTGTAAATACTGATCAAAGACAAAACGTATACAACTGAGATGTATTTTTCTTGTGTATGCCAAAAATCGTAACGCTTACAACCAGCGGGCATGACGCGTGCGCAGTGAAAATTGTATTCTTGACTTTTTTTGTAAACTGGCACCAACTCGAAGAGGGATAAATATTTATACCATAGACATGCTTTTGCTTAGTTAGGTTACTTTAACTCCAGATGCTTTTTTCTTGACCAGGTAGAGACGAAAGAATATCATAAAAAAATGTTTGATATCTAGGCCCTAATGTTCTGAAACATTCAAAAATGCCCATAGATAGCATGGATGACAGACAGACAAACTTAATTTATTATGAATAAGACCAAAATAAAAGCATTAAAACTGTGGTAATCTAGAAAGAGTAAAAGAGTATTCACGTTACACGGACTTTCAGTATCTGGTACGATATTTCAAAGACACAAGCAACATATAGTGTGTCAAAGTTGAGGTTGGCGCAAAAGGCCCGCGACACCGCCGTGAGTTCGTTTCTTCCAAAAGATATTAACTTAATTAACTTGTTGTCACGCACAGCACTGTATTTCATGTTGGAACCATGGCAACATACCTATAACATATACTGTAGCATGATTCTTTTTGATCAACAGACAAATCGGCTGAACGTATAACCTGCAGCTGTTCTTAACTCGAGTCAAACTGTACTCGTTTTGTCCCAAAACTGAATCAATTGATATAAAACGCCGAATTGAAAAAAAAACTGATCAAAGTGAGATCGTATGAAATATACATCGTTCTTTTTATTCATATTTTTCTAATTTGTTTTATGAGAGATATTGTAGGACTTATTTGGTTTTCAAAGAAATTGGAAAATGAAAAAAAGCCGTGTACGGTGAATAGTTTACAATTTGTTTAGAAGTTTTTCAAGCCATTAGCCCACAATAACATAAGTGAAAAAAGGGATTGACACATGTATTATAATTGATCCGATTGTTGTCGACTTGCTAATGCCTGTGATTTTTCCATCCAGTCTTGTTTGGCTCTTAATGAAACCTCAGATTGGACCAGGAGATCGAAACCCCCAAGCGAACATCTGAAGAGGAAGGTGTGTAAGCTTTATATAATCCGGGGGGGGGGGGGGGGGGGGGGGGGTAGAGCAGCACTCGCACGTGTTAAATGTTTAGGCTTTCTGAAATGTAGAGTTGAACAGATGGGACCAGGTGGCTGCGTTGATAAATCTGCAAACTTGGGACAATATCAATCAATAACCGGAAGCCAGTAGAGCCTAACAAGATGTTAAAGAAATGGGTATCATTGTCTTACATATAATTGGAAATTCTTGGTGCGGTCTTGAGTCACAAACTGCCAACTCATTATCCGTTTGAAATATGTAACAAGTCTTCATAAAATTACCTCAATCTCTACCAAATGTCGACCTTTGTCACACAATCTACGTCTGCAAAAACTAATCATCTACTTTTTCTTCTTATGGTGACTAATTGCGCTCGGTTTAAAAAATCAATAGACTTTTCTGCACACAAGACTTACGCCTAGAAATATAAATGTAGGCCCATAAATTCATTTATGTGGTGTCTTTGATCAATACCTCTGCTATTCAAATATATTAGTTTTACATTTATACTTGGGCACCTTCTGATTCTTCGATATGTGACCACATCTCTCTTTTTGCCTGTGTAATTGGAAGGGCTTCAATAGGCCTATCTTGTAAAACATAAAAACCCGTAAAGTAAACTGCCATTCTAATTTATTTAAATAGCAGAGACATTGATCAAAGTCACCACTTAACTAAATAAAATTCAAAGACATACATGTAAGTTTGGGAGGTATACTGCATATGCACCGGTATTATCCACAAAAATTTTAAGGCGTCCTTTCCGTGGTGTAATGATATAGGCCTATATTTGTGATAATGGTTTTGTGATTTGATTTTTTTTTCTTCTTAATTAAACAAAGAGGGGGAGGGGTCTATGGATAAGTCCGTAGGCCTATTGTATTCAAGTGACATCTCAGTAAGGTCTCCTGAAGTTTAGTTCGTGTCTCTCCACATTTGCTTGGTCAAATAATTTCAGTCAGTGCAGATTCATTAGGCTATACCAAGGAGTTATAACTCCTTGGCTATACTGCCTACACTAAGACGTATTTGGTACTTGAGACAGCGACACATCACAGCCGCTGTCTCATCTTAGGCTACATGTACATTCATATTCAGACGTCATTGTTCGGATTCTAGTTAAAGCGAAAAAAGTGTTGAATCTAAACCTGTTACAGGAAACACAATCAGCATGCTATACCCAAGTTCGTCTGTCACCTTGATCGGTTAGGCTATTGAACTTAAGAACTTTGACAGTTTACCATATAAATTATTAAATTGAATTTAAATTATTAAATTTAAAAATGATATATATAGGGGGCCTATATATATATACCCTATATGACGGTTTTATGAAATTCGCTGAAAATTTCTAAATCGATTTTTAATCTTTTTTTTACACTATCATGGCAGACTTTTATGTGGTTAGGGTTTATCAACCTATCAAGAGGGTCCCATTGGGTATCATCGTTACCCGTAAAAGCCACTTTTTATTTCCAGATATGCGTGAAACGTTCATTTTATTTAGCTCGATTCATGAATTCACTTCATAAAATTTGGCCTATTTCCGTGACTCGTGAATGCGGCTTTTTATTCTCCGCCCCTTGTGAAATGAAGTCATAAAATTATCGATTCGTGACCTTCAGGATATTCGAGGCGCATTATCAGTAGTATAAAGTTTTATTTACTGTGAATTGTGAATTGATGATTTTATATTCCGTGAAATGTAATCACCCCCCCCCCCCCCCTTTCTGGGAACCTCTGCCAAGGTGGCAACCGAGCGTGGTTGTGCCAGTGTTCCGCATTGTGTTAGAGAATCTCTATGCCGTAATTGCGTCAAAAGTGGGTACTTAGCATGTAGCCTCACAGGACTGTCCAAAAGTTTGTGATCGAGATAATTTTAACGGTGATGGACGAACCTATGGAAGAGGAGAAGCAGAGTGACTCCCCAAAAGTAGAAGAGGAAAGAAAGTTGAATGCCTCATCTCTCTTGAGGCCAGGGAGTATGGGTAAATCTAATGAATTTGCGATCGGTTTGTAATATCATGTCAGAATCACTGTCACAGACAGTAATATCAGTCGGGCTGTCAAGGGCAGGCTGAGCCTATAGGAAGGCAGACTAAATGTGCTTTTCTTTTTTT